CCAACCTAAGACAAAGATGCTCTAGGTACTCCGGGCTACTACTAGAACTAGGCTTTTTAGAGTTTTTTAGTTCTGGTAACAGACGAATGGCCATGAGAATCACTACGCCAATCCACGCATACATTTCATGACAATGCCATCAGGACTATCGAGCGTTTGTAGTTAAAAATGTCCTCCCTGCCTTGTTGGGACACTTCAATCTGATCCCATCTAGAGTTCCAAGACAATCGGGAAATCGAGTCTTCTTCCACAGCTCTTTCTACAGAAGTGATCCACGTTTCCCTCGTCGGGCCTTCATGTAGATCGGCCCAAGCTCTTCGTAGCCGATTTCACGAGTCATTTCTTGTTTTCACGTCTTTCCAGCCCTTGCATAGGAAACACGAATCACATGATGCATTCGGATATGGTTGTTCCAAGTGCTAGGGTACTGTTGCACAGCGGTCATCAGTATACCATCGTAATACTTTACATTATTGCATAATCGAAAAACATTTCCAACTCTACCCTATAGAAGTTGGTCTAGGACTGCGGGTACGAGACGATCAAATTTGTTTTTGCTGAAAAAAAAAAAACATTTGAGATGTTTCTGGGAAGGTTTTTCATTTTTTTTGTGGCTAAGCATTTGAGAAGCATTGAAAAACACCCGAAAAAAAAACCTTTTTCCCTCTGAAGTTTTTATTTGTAGCCTCAGTCGAAGTAGTCAAATTGACCATTGTCCCCTCCATAACTATTTCTGCTCCATACAAGAGTATTGAAATCACCAGAGAGCTTCATATAGGGTTCATAGCCTTTACCACTGGATATGGGAACATTCTCGAAATTGGTGTTGAGACGTCTAGTGCTACTCTTGCTTTTATCAATCGAACAATCATGTGTCTATTACATGTTCCTCTTTCATCGAATATGATTCCAAGAGAATTCTTTAACCGCTTCCAGTTGTTCGCCTGCAACGCCCTGTTTGTGTTTTAATGTGGGGGGGGTGTGGTGAGAAACTCATTATCTTAGTCTTTCTGATATTTCGTTATGCGAATTTCGATGCTGGTCTCTCTCAAGGTTCCGACAGCAAAGTCGCGAGTTAGTCGATCTAACGGCGCTCAAGCAGTTACAGAGGAGAGCTACAAGAATGATCGAAGAAGTCGATTATAAGTGTTCTCGCTCGAGAGAAAACAAACAAATCGACAACTTAGAGCGAGGGCGATTTTTTCCAATTCGATGGCAGCGTCAGAACGAGCTGTAACCAATTTAAACTGCGCAAACCGCAAGTGCGGCTCGAGTCGCGTCACACCTTCTTTACTTGTAGGGCAATGAACACTTTTTATTAATACTTGCTCTATGAAGGCATCTTAAGACAATGGAGCAATAGATAGTAAGCAGATAAGTAAATAGGCAATGGGTGAATATGTGGTAGTCGACTAGACTTAATGCTTATCTACTTCCCCTTAAAAAAGAAAAAAAAAAGTATCCACGGTGGCAGGTCTATCTTAGGGTAAGGAACGCTCGATGAAGGAATGGGCAGAACTGCTTCTTCGCAATACTAAATCCTAAATCCTTTCGCAACAAGGAACGTTCAGGAGAATGACGATCGCTGACGCTGACGATCAAAGTACGCTGGGAAGTTTGGAAAAAAAAAACTTTAAATGTTGAGTCGCAACGTAAACTGTCATGAATTTTCATCTCATCTAAGATTCTGCGAAGAGTCGTTGTAATGAGAGAAATGGTTTTGCGAAATTCAGCAACTGCGACTGCATTAAAGTCGGAAGGCAATTTTTTTTACTCGCTCTGTGCTGATACACGGTGCACTAAAAGTCCTTGTACACCCCTCATGAACGCTAATGGTATTGAGACATCTATTTGAAATTTTGGGCAGGTGTTGGGTGACGCAGTGGTCTCACCGAGTTTCAGCCTGATGACACCAAACGACGAACAGAAACCGAGGCTGAAGCTGTTATTGCTTTAGTCAATGTTGGCCAGCGCAATCGCGAAAATGCTCAAAGCACCCCGGTCAACCGTGCAGCTAAGGACCGACGTAGGAGTGGCCGCCCTTGCAGTCAACACTGTGGCATCAGTCAACACTGTGGCATCAGGCAACACTGTGGCATCAGGCAACACTGTGGCATCAGTCAACACTGTGGCATCAGTCAACATTGTGGCATCAGGCAACACTGTCATCAGTCAACACTGTGGCATCAGTCAACACTGTGGCATCAGTCAACACTGTGGCATCAGGCAACACTGTGGCATCAGGCAACACTGTGTCATCAGTCAACATTGTGGCATCAGGCAACACTGCGGCATCAGTCAACATTGTGGCATCAGGATACAGAGTGGCATCAGTCAACACTGTGGCATCAGTCAACACTGGCATCAGTCAACACTGTGGCATCAGTCAACACTGTGGCATCAGTCGACACTGTGGCAATGCGTCGCAGGGTAAAACAACTGCCGCGGCGAAATCCTCAGCGCTCGCTTCGCAAAACAGGCAAAATTGATTGGTGCGAACAGCCACATCCCACCGCAGACTGGTCAAGGGCAGTCTCAAGATGCAGCCCTACAAGCTGCAAAAGCTCCAGCTGGTTTATGACAAAAATAAAGGAGATGGGCTGCAAAAAGCAAAGGCACTGCTTCAGCGGTTTCAAAAGGACTGGGAACGGATTCTTTTCACTAAAGAGATTTTCTCTGCGGAAAAACACCTCAACATTCAATGACCGGTTCTGGCTGAAGGTGGGTAGAGCTCACTACGGCAACAGGAGAAACACCTGCAAAATCAACAAGGACTATTACCAGAAGGAAGTTCAGCCTTGGGCTGAGGGCATCTTTGGGTCACAGCATCAGACCTTCCAGCAGGATTCTGCCTCCTCTAAACATGGTAAAAAGCAGAATCCATTGGTGCGAGGCCGACTTTCCGGACATCATCAAGCCCAGTGAATAGCCTTCCAGCTCCCCAGATCTCAACCCTAAGAACTTCTCGATCTGGGGAATATCGACGGGGTTAAATATCCGGTTTCTCAGTGTGGTAAGAAGCGTCTGGAGGCTGTTGTGGCAGCCAATGGCGGCCATATTGAAAGCTAGTTTGCCAATAGGAAAGATACAGTGCAACCAACAATCGGTAAAAAAAATTCTATTTTATTTGCTTGTAATTTGGGTGAAAGTTTTATAATTAGAAGTTTCCTAAGGACTTTTGGTGCATTAACAAATAGCAAATTTCCTTAGCAAATTTTTTCTCATGTGCAAACTACAAAATTTACTACGATTTCTTTTCCCACTCGTGGAGGCTCTTATTTTGAGGAATGCTATTTTTTCCCCGAATGCGAAACTGTGGATGTTTGTGGTGTGAATTACAATTTCTCGATGCCCCTTTCATAACTTCACATTTATAATATTACCGAAATCGTGCTTGTGAATACGCATCATCTTCCACCAAACAAGCAAGCATACGGGTCAACGAACCCTCACACGAGCCGACGAAGAATGAAATCGCTGGAAACACGGCGCCACCCACAAGGAAACCACAAAAGAGAAACGAACCTCCTTCCCCGGCGCCTCCGTCGAGCTCAAACGACATCCTTCCTTTACGTCTGAAAGTCTTTTTTTTCTCTCTCTCCTTCGGGAAAGTCGAGATCGATCGCTTTGCGAATGCAAGGTGAAAATTGAGCCGGTCTTTTCTCGTCGAGTCTCTCTCGAGCAGCAAACCATCACAAATACATAGGCAATCCAGAAAAAAATTTAAACGTTACTTGGTACCATTCCACTTCACGCCTTCCCAGAGCCCACCGCTCGCATAGAAACTGTCCACACCTCCCCTCAGTTCTGCGCGAAACGAACGGCCGCAACTTGTCCTTTCGCTGCATCTTCGAGATGCGCTCGCTCGAGCTTCGTTTTCAACGTGTGTGTGTAATACCTTACGGTTTGGACGAACGGTACCACACTAGCATTGATACCGTCACGAAGCATGGTTTCCATCAAACTGCAGCGTCGTAGAAAAAAAAAAAATTCACGAAACCAGCCGGTATCAGATATTTATTTCACGAATAGGTTCACCGCATCTCCCTGCCCAAGATCCAGGTGCACTAGGTACTCCGGGCACTTCCAGAACTGGGTCCGTCCTTCAATAGTTTTTTCGTTCTGGTAATTGACGAATGGCCATGAGAACCGCGACACCAATCCACGCATCTGTCTCGTCTCTCTTTTTTGCCTGAGCAGATCGCATGCTTCCATATCCCTCCAGGCCTCACGGGCGACGGGTAAAATTTTGACGGAGAAGCCTTGGTCACCAGTAGACGGCGCGAGTGTGATATAGTGGGAGGAAATGGGTCAAAAGTTTTTTGGGCAGAATACAGGGTGTCCCATAAGTCATCGTATTCATTTAAGCGCTATTTCGTCATTTCAAAAGATGTGTTCCAGCAATCCTCCTCTAGTAGATCTTCCAGTTTTTAAATCATGAACACTATATCATAACTTGATAGTACTTCTTTTCTTTTGACTCTCGGGTAAGAAATTAAAGAAAAAACGAAAATTGTATGCGGAACCGCGAGTAAAATATCTTGCTGTGGATGGATACATTTGTACGAGTAACAGAGACGAGTCGAGAGTTTCAGATTGTTCACTGGTGAAACAAATCATGAAAACACAATCTGCAACATTTTTTTTTAAGCATTCCAACTTGTAGCGTGGAACACAACTGGGTGAAACTGAAATTTGCTGCGGGAGACTTCATGGAAATGCAATTTTTGTAACTTTTTTTTGGCGAAAATTGTGTTCACTGAATATTTTTACATTTTTGATTGCATAAGCATTTCGCTTTTATAGCAATAGCATGCACATGCTAATACATATTGCCATTTGAAACCCCACTCCGACTTATGGAACACCCTGTACTTCCCAACGCCCACTAAACGGTAAAATCCAATGATAAAATCTGTGCAAAGCAAAATTAGCGTTTCGAAAATTCATCAGAATGGTATATAGACATGGATCTGCCGCCAGTCACTCGAACGCCACATAGGGAAGGCGAAGCCATTTTAATGGAACATCGACCCATCATCACGCGAATAAATAGGACACGCCACAGAGAACACAAAAAAAAACGATCGAGACAGGCTCAATGCGGAATGTAGCAGCCGCGAGCCCTCTGGAGTTCCTTCATGAGGCGACGACGGAAGTCCCGGACCTGATCCGGGTTCACGTCCTCGGCTTGGGCGTGACATTCCTCTTTCTTCTTCTCCACCATGCATCGCAGGAAGTCCTTCGAGATAAGAGAGAGAGGAAAAAAAGTGATTTTTGTGAATGCCTTCCCTCGGCATTCGATAAGCCATTTCTACACAAGCTCAGTCGCGTCCTGTATGGATACTCGCTCCCCCCCCCCCCCCTTTCAGCGTAGTTAAGAGGCACCAACCTAATTTACATCTGTTCCATTTCATGACACAAAATTGGTATCCGCGTCATCCTACGGATAAACCGATGTCCCATATTTGTGAGGGTCAGGCCCACGATCTCTGCCTCCAGTCCGGAGCACGGACGTCGAGCTCACCTCTTTGATCTGACACTTCTCCCAGGGCGGTCGATCCTCGTCCTCCATCATCTCCCCCATCGCCTTCTCCCCGCACTCCTTCAACGCCTTCACGTGGCACGGCTCTACGCCCCCGAAGAACGACAAATCCAAATCGTCAACAAAATCCAACCGCGCGCCTTCTCCCGAAGGAACTTCGGATAGGAGCACCACGATAGTGGCAAACTTCGAGGTTAAGGTAGAGTTTGTTCTCCGGTCAGGTCTGACCTCGACGACCCCAACCATTCGGTTGCTCGGCGCCATGTTTCTCGGATGTATTTTGAAGCGACAGGAAAGAGACGTATCCATTTATAGACGCAAACTGTTTTCCCTCTGAAACGAGGCAGATAGCAGTCGTAACGAGTCTGATATCAGTGGAAACGAGGGATTCGATGTACGGCTCATATCCTTTGTCTCCACCGTAGGAGTTGCTCCGAGAGGATTCACCGAAACTTATTTTACCAATGAAATAATTGCTCCCTTCTTTTTTTATGCTTTTTTCCCCCCAAAATCGAGCATTGACGAACGTTCTGGGTCAAACTAAAGAATGGGTCCCGAGGAGTCGGGAAAAATACATTTGAAGGCCCCAAAACCATCTGAGGTCTTTTCCAAAAAAAAAAGCAATGGCGACAAAGAGGTCAGCAACCGCGCGGTTTGTGGTTTTCACGGCATTAAAGCGGTTTAAAACCGCAGGACGTCTTATCCATAGAGAGTGTCTAATGGAGGGGCCTCCCCTATGACGCGAGGCGCTGCACCCTCCCAGGCGCGGCCGCCATCTTACTAAAGTCGCACGAGCAAGGAGTTCATATGAGTTGATAGCAGACACAAGGAGAGGGGGAGGGCAAAAGAGGCAACTTTCCCGAGCTATATGCCTGGGGGCCTCCACGCCGGGACGCAACCGATCACGCCATTCATTCCCACGTGCGAGACTTCACCAAGATGGCGGAAGCACTTGCAAGTCTCGAGGCAGCGAAGGCCTCTCCAGAGACATCTATATACACACAATGGTCTTATCGGCTCCAAAGAACGCGAAGAAAACTGCGCTAACCGCCACTGACTGCAAGAAGCCCCGAAGCAGAAAAAGGAAATGACAATCTTGTTGTAATGGGAGACTGGAATGCGGTAGTAACAAGGACTTCAGAAGTTGATGGATGGGTTAAACGCGGTGGCGAAGAAGTTTGATATGAAGTTCAATGGGAAGAAGACAAAGGTGATGAAGATGTCTAGGAAAGGAGGAGGAATAATTAACATTGTGATTGACGGCCAGAAAGTGGAACAGGTGAAAAAGTTTAAGTACTAGGGTTAAACGCGGTGGCCAAGAAGTTTGATATGAAGATAAATGGGAAGAAGACAAAGGTGATGAAGATGTCTAGGAAAGGAGGAGGAATAATTAACATTGTGATTGACGGCCAGAAAGTGGAACAGGTGAGAAAGTTTAAGTACTTAGGAGCTTTGATCACAGATGATGGAAAGTGTGAGGTGGAGATCAGAACAAGAATAGGAATGGCAAAGGATGCTTTTAGCAAGAGAAAGGAGTTATTAACAAAGAGGATGAACCAAGAGGTAAAGAAAAAGATAGTGAAGGCAGTGGTGTGGAGTGTGGCTTTATATGGGTCCGAAGCATGGACTTTAAGGAAGGAAGACATCAGAAGGTTAGAGGCTTTTGAAATGTGGGTGTGGAGAAGGATGGAGAGAATAAGATGGATACATCGAAGAACAAATGAAGAAGTACTGGAAGTTGTTGGGGAAAAAAGAGGACTAATGAAAATGATTGCGAGAAGAAAGAAGAACTGAATTGGACACATTCTACGCGGAGAAGAATTGTTGAAGGAAGTGATAGAAGGAAGAATGGAAGGGAAAAGACCTAGAGGAAGGAAAAGAATTGGAATGCTGGAGGAACTGAAGGAAGGGTCGTTTGTGAAAATGAAGAGAAAGATGGAGAACAGATTGGAATGGAGAAGATGGATGCCTAGGACCTGCCAATAGGCAGAATACTTAAGAAAGAAGATTCGAACTGTATTGTTCGTTATCTATTTATTATCATACTCCAATTACTTTCTTCATGACATGCTCACGGCTCGTTCGTCATTTTATGCCATTCTATGCATTTACATTTTGCCAGCAATGTTATAAACTATGCGTTCTTCCTCCAGTGGGAGAGGGCTTAAGTAAATCAAAACGTATTCGAGACGTGGAGGTCGGTTTTCATGATTTGACATCAATGCCTCACCAGAGCGTGGGAGGTCAGCCGGGCGCGAGACGCACTCTAACGTAGGAGAGGACAAGGGTGCATGGTGTACATGGGTGGGCGCAAGACGTACTCTGGGTGGGGGGGGGACACAAGGCTTATTAATGCCCGCCAAGGAGTCAACAGGGAAGGAGCGAAGGATACAAACATTTTGGACTTTGTTTCTAATGAATAGACGGCTTTGGTGGCTCGTCCGATTAGTATCACACAAGATGACTTACGACAGTGCACGCACATTTAGGTGCATGCTTGGAAGCAATCATTTTGTTATAAAATACGCGCTCAGATTTTGATTTTTTTTCATGAATGGAGAGCTACTTGCTTTTTTGAATAAGTGACATATTGGAATGGTATTGAAATAAACTTAACAAGCCTTTTATTTCCAGCAAAATTAGGAAATTTTCCTATAAAGTATTTCCTTAAAACGAATTCTTTCAACCTCTCCTTTGAGTCCTTTTTATTATAAAAGAAAAGTTACATTGACCCATAAGTTATACAGGGACCGCAAAAAGGTCGTGATGGGATTTTAATCTTAAGTAAATACCCCAAGTACATAATCGAAAATTGTTTATTGCCAATTGAAGGGTACATCTGGGAGATATATTGCATGTTAGTTTTTGAGTATAACATCTTTAAAGGCTTACCACACATTGACTTTCTCGAAGAACTGCACTTTCCATGACAGAAGCCAAAGTCCAGATTAATGCTGTTTATCCCTGTGTTTGGAGACCTTCCTTGGCCTCCCAGGTCTTCGGGTTCATTAGCCCCAGACTTCTTCCTGCGGGGCTACTTAAAGGAAAGAATTTACCTTACGAAGCCCAGAACACTACAAGAATGAAAGGATAAGATACGCATAAAGATAAACAGCATTAATTGGGACACTGGTTTCTGTCATGGAAAGTGCAGTTCTTCGAGCACGTCAATGTGTGGCTAACAGTGGGAAGCATTTAAAAGATGTTATATTCATAAACTAACATGCAATATAATATCTCCCAGATGTACCCTTTAATTGGCAATAAACAATTTTCGATTACGTAATTATGATTTTTATTCATTCAAGTTTAAAATCCCGTCACGACTTTAGGCAGACCCTGTACTTAGTTAACGCCTATCGTTGGGGACCTACCACACCTTACTGTAGTTACACTTAATCCACCTGGTCCTCATTTTCTGTTGTTTGTTTCAGTTTTAGCAGTCAATAGGTTCTATGTTCACAGGGAATAGTAATATCACAACATTTCTCAAGAAAATACTAATAAATAAAAAAGATAGGAATTGTAATCAATGTTGACTCACTACAATGAGGCACAATAGGCAGGATGGAGATGGGCGGAGGGCTGTCATCACGCCTGGACTGGAGGTTTCTTCTGGCAAAGAGCAAAATACCTCTATAATCCACTTCCCCATCTCCTTCATCTTCAGGACGAAAGGTGCCTAAAAAGTAATTTTTTTTTTAAACATCTTCATGGAATCCAGAAAACTCGTTCCATCATCTGCATGTGCAGGACCTCAAGAGGGTATAAAAGCTAATAGTATGGCACTTATTTAGGATGGCAACTTACAATTACATTTTATGTTATTGGCAAGCAGTAGATAAGTAATATGATCATAAGGCACCGTTTTGCTCGCCACTCTTTTAGACGCCAATGACAAGTCACGAAGCCAGTTTTGATGGCAGACATTGCCTTGTCACAAAATCTTCGTGCCTTTCTCAACTGCGGGTTCTTTCCTCCTTTATAGCCAGACAAAACATGTTAGTCTACTCCTTGTCTTTAGTGTTCGGGAACAACCGCATTATCCCCTAATATACAGTATATACCGATATAATTGCAATATTATATTCGACTAAATTCATCAATAATTTCTCGATAGTCACTCTATTGAGGTCGTAGTCGACTGTGTCTCAGTCTAAATCAGGGGTGTCAAACAAAAACCAGTCGGTGGGCCGCATTCCTTACCCTGCAGAGGCGTGCGGGCCGCATCCATAGGATCGTTCGCAGAGGTTGCTGAGAGTCAATCCAGGCTGAGTTTCAAGAACAGGCGATGAGATGGATGAACCACCTCCGCAGGCCAGATCAGGCCCACAGGCAATATGTTTGACGCCCCTGGTCTAAATGAAACGATTGTATATGCCTTGATCTTTCATTCTTGGAGTGTCTCACCACGCTTTTGAATCTGAGCGCTCTACGCGAAGGATGTGTCTATCTCTTAAGTGTTATTTGTGACGCAGTCGGATTAGACCGCTTTAACCGCAGGATAGAACTCATAACGCGGTCGAGTTGGACTGCTTCAGTCAAACGACATTCAGAGCTACGATTCCAGTTTGTTTCCATCAATCAGAAGGCATTTCCCGAAACAAAAAAACATTGAAAATCTAACTGGCTTCGATGAACTAATTCCTTTCGAAGATGGCTGTATATCGGGTGTCAGCTCATATCGTTGGGCAGGCCGCATTCCTTGATGCTGAGCCCACCGCCACGGGCCCTGTGTTTGACACCGCTACTGCACGTAAACCCTAAGCTCTGAAAACCAACCCCCCCTCATTCTTTGAAATTCTAAGGTTTTGAATATACCCCACAAACTCATCGTTGTTTGTTTCGTCGGACCACTTGGTTGCATTATATTTCACATTTTCGAATGAAAATTATTCACTGGCTTTGTTTCAAAGAAAGTTATTTCACATGTGAATCATGGAAGGATATTTTCTTCTTAACAGGAAAATGAATCGGTGACATCGAAGAGACTCACAAGATAGACCATCTCCAATGAGTACTATTGACCTCTTGAATATATTTGCTGCCAGTTGGATTTGATGAAGAAGCGTGTCCGATATATTTGACTCCAATTCTCCATTTGACATGGACCCAGCATCTGAGCCTTTCGACACAGGTAAACTCGAGTGATCTTCGTCTTCTATTCTTTTCTGTAAGCACATCTGCAATTACGTTTCACCAAGGATTTCAAAATTCAATTGAGCTCCAACCTACAATAACTCAAAACATGGGGGAAATGACCAAAAAAACTCCATAACCATGCACTATTACAGTGCCTAAAAATCTGTGGACACGTACTTCTTTGAGGGCTGACATGAAGTCAAGAGAATTATCAGATCTGCGGATCATTTCAGGAAACATTCTACTTCTTGACAATATTATCTGGTGGTATAGTATTTTGTAATAAGCTATAAAAGGAGCTCTCAGAACCGAAAGCTGCTTGCAGCCAGTTTCCAGAGAGATTCCTTCTTGTCATACTTTGGCCTGGAGGGAGTCATAATTACTTTCTACCGCAACTTTTGCTTCCCTACTTCAGTGAGATATTCAAATCGCAATTGAAGGAAAGTTTTTCATGTACAGTACAGGGAAGCATGAGTCTAGTAGGCGCTCATCCAGGAAGTTCCCATTTGAGGAGAAAAGCGTTCTTCATGAAGACGGCACTGAGGAAAACCTCTCCCACCTCTCCCAGGAAAAATATAATCATACAGGGAAAATAAAGCTGTGAGAAATTTCTTTCATGCAAGATTTATTGAACCCGGCATTGCTTCTTCTGCAGAGACTAGCTGAAAGAGCCTGGATGCCGTTAGGCATTTATCTGGAAGAATGAATTTCAGTCCCAAGAAGGAGGTCCCATGGCGAAGTCTTGAGTCTCCTGGTCTTGTTGCCCTTTTCCGGTGTTAGATGCTGTGGGAGCTGGAAACCATTTTACGCCTACGTGAACTTCCCACAGAAAGCCTGTGTGCTTCTTACACAAGTCAAGATATCGTGCCCTTGGATCGCACTGGCTTTCTTTTTCGCTTTCTCAAAATCATGAAGTTCACAGTTGCTTCCCTTCAAGCTGGAAAAAAATTCAGGAGAAAGAAAAGGCAAAGACAGACCTTGAGAAGAGGAAGATGCAGGAGCGACCCCGTGAGACTGACGGAAAGGGACTCAAGGAGTCCGACTCCTTTACTCCGGATCTTCAACGCCACTGGGGGCCTGTGCTTTGGCTCCCAATCTACTCCCTGCAG